CTAACAAAATGGCGACCCACACAAAGAACCGGCAACATGGCAACTGCACGTTTAAAGGTTCTCTGTGGTTGTCTATATCTTTGTATGTGGAGTGATTCAATGACTCTATAACGTCTTCTCCTCGAAACAGAGCTGGCTAATGTAAACCCACTGCTTGCTAGGTATAGTTAAAGTATTTGCATGTGCATGTGACTGGCTCTGTTTTATGTGCTTCAATACACCTGTTCCTTGCTATGCAGTGAGGATATAAACGACAAATGAGCAAAACAAAGTGAGTAGAAAGTGATACACTAATGAAATAGTTACGCATAAGACAGAAGAATACACACTATGGCTGAAGTAACTGCTGTAGCTGGAGAAGTACTGTATGCAGAAATCACTGAAGACCTTTCCGGCACTTTCTATCTACAATACAGCTTTCTGCAGCGTGAGTCCAAGAATATAATGTCGAAAATACCCAAACAAAAAGGAAATCTTTAACTATTGCAGTGGCAACATGCTGTAATGGGTGCCAGAAAAAGTGTCATGGGCCTTAGAGTATGCTTTTACAGTCTTAGAAAGACAACCAGTAGTTTATACACTGAAGTTTAAGAAACCTCCATCTCAGTCATAACCATACGGAGCAGATACATGTATCATGGGGTTCACAGAGTGTTTGCACAACTCAGGCATGCCTGTACTCAATGTGACATCAAAAACAGTCATGTAATGTTACCTCATCACAATCTCTCATCTTCTTCTCCAGTTCTCTCCTCTTCTCCTCATCTTTACACTTCTCCAACTCTGACTCTAGTTCCTCCTTTCTTCCTCTACAGTCATGACAACGATCACTTACACTGGAGTACAATGGTTTGGCAAATGGTTTTGCCTTGATGATGTTTGCCAGTATACACACTAACTTCACTAGTGCAACAGTAAAGGACAACAGGTGATGGAAGACAGATCACCATCTCATGTTTGTCTGGGAATGCTGGCTACTTCTCTACAAAAACATTGGTATTTTATACCAACCAAAGACCTAAAAGTCAAAACCCTCGGCGCAAATGAGGCAATGTACACAATGATTAATTGGCAGGGCCACGCCACACGTTCACTCAGTTTCAACAGAGTCTAGTAGCACCAGTGAGTAGTGTGTGGAGCAATACTAGACGGGATACTCATCTTACGAGTAACTTTGTGCCCTCCACGGTGTTTTAAAATCGGTCGAGGTAAGCCATTGCTCATTACCTATGCTAATGGCTCTTTTGCTTGTGTTTCATGCAAAACTCTCGAATGCAGTGGTTTCATGGGAAACAGTAATATTCACGTCTACGTGACTCCAACCAATGCAGCTGACTGTGTCTTGTGCCTTCCTATACTTCACCACTCCAAGAGTCTTAAAGTGACCATTATAATGACGGATTGGAAAATAGAGCCATCACTTCGTCCGCTAACATGTCCTGCTACAGAGGTCAAAAAAACCCACTGGTGACTGCATGCTGAGCTGCTGCTTCACTACTATAACAGACAGTGATGTACTGTAAACTCTTGCTCTACTGCTATCATCAGGTCAGCTAGCAACAAATGCAAATTCTTAGAAATTGTTCTAAGATCTCTCTGCGAATTTTAACAAACTCTACCAACAAACTCACTCAGGTATATAAAGCACAAGAATAACGCTTTACCATATTATTATCTAAAGGTTCAGGAGCTGGCTTTCGAGGTGGTGCCCTCCAAAGTCTGTGAGCTAAGACCTCTTCGCCCTCTCTAGAGGGATCTCGTGACGAGTCCGTCGGTCCACTAACGGAGACAGTGTAGGAGAACTGGAGGTCGGGTCCATCTTTTCAGCCATCTTGGATTGGCGAGCGAGAGCGAGCTATATACCCTATATAAATACGTAGTCGTCCGTTCGAGCGGATTTTATTTTGTGACGGGCACCACGGCACCGGAAGGTTTTACGTGATTCTAAATACGCGAAACGGAATGAAATTTTGCGTTTTTGTTGTATAATCATAATTATTTCTTCTTCCCGTACAAAAAAACAATCGTCTGTGTAGCTAGCTAGCTACGCTTACACACACGGTGCGTGGTTGCCTATCCATGCCAGCTGCCTGGTGACCACGACAGACGAGCTGAAAGCGTAAGGTAAGTACCGTCACCGTTCTGGCATACAGCGCGCATGTAACGGCGACAGGTACTAGCTCAGTGACAGTCTTGCTTCACGAAAGGAAAGCTGTGCGCTGACGGCACGTTATGCAGACCGAACGTCGCGGGCAAATCCCAAGTTGGTCGCTCCCGGCCTCCCGCTCGCCAAACATTCTTCTAGTACACTAACGTAGTGCGCAAGCGAGGATCGAAGTCGCTCTGGTATAAAATTCACCGCTCAACTCGTAAGGCTGAAATCAATTATGAGTGGAAGTTCAGCAGTGAGGAGATTGCTGCCTGTCTCAAGGAAGCAGTTGATGAGATCCTGGAGGTATATATATATATACTGCAGTCTCACCAGTCCACTTCAATAATCCGTCACCTCTCCTGGTTAGACCTAGATCCTGATATAGTCTTACTCACTGATGCCACACCATTTTGTCGTGCACATCAGTTAGTGGAAGTGTTGTTTGCAGGGGAGCAGAGTAGAGGACTGAGAGTGAGGTCATTCCACTGCAGTGCTCCAGGTCCAGCCACTACTGGGGCTCAGGGACGACCCAGGAGTGATCGGGGACGACCTCCCAATGTCTCTGGACCACTTCCGCAAACCTAGTCAACCTGCTGCCGGGACCACTGACCATCAGGAGGATGGATGGTGTGATGGATACACTCTGCCTCACCCTGTGTGGAGTGAGGAGGAATTGAACTCTGTCCAGATCACTCACACTCCTCCAGAGAAACCTGTTGACACGGTACACAGTCACACAACTCTTACTAACTACTCCAAACACTGACCCTACTCCCCTGCAGGCTGCCTATTACTCTGTGCAGATGCTGAGGACGGGGTTTGATCTATTGTCTGGGTATTCGTGGGGCAAGAGGTTTGGTACACTGGATGAGAAGAAGTGGCTCTCAACAATCATCTATCTTAAGAGACAGTGGCCGGAGTATATACCAGGTCAGAAAGATCCATCTAATATTGTGTCTGTGTGCCTAGGAAAGTCCACAAGCCTTGACATTTAGTGAATAAATGTCAAGGTTTTCACAAGAATCAGTTAAAATCTGGTCCAGTTTCAAATCTTTACTGTAATGTGGCCCAATACAATCTACATGTCTCCAGGTATGATAGGTGCGATGGTGCGTCACTTGAAGTCTCTGCGGCGCATGACTCGGGACCATGGCTGGATACACACCTTGCTGGAGGAGGCAGAGAATGAGAGGATGCACCTCCTCACAGCTATGGAGCTGAGGAGACCTGGACCTCTCTTCAAGATTGCCGTCATTGGAACACAGGGTGAGCCACTGAAAGAAAGTGCTTATGAGATTCCATGAAGTGAAGGTGTCCACTAGCCGCATTCTTGGACAGATCAAAGCAGCTCTAGATGAAACATCTTGGAATGTGGACCGACTCTCTCTACTGAAAGTGACTCTCAAGAAGAAGCTAGACACATTGATGGGACTCGATGCAGAGATCATCTAAAACACGCCAGAGGATGGATTCGATGATGAGATTAAGCAATCAGACGAATACGAATACCTTGGGGGAAAATGTACGTGTGGGAATGCAGTTGGATTGCTAACCTATGACATTGATGTTGAACGTTGTCCTAACTGGTTCGTCTGCCAATCACATCATGCATTGAACGAAAGGGGTGATGGGGCTACTAGTCTGCAGGTCGACATGTCATTGGAGTGTTTGCAGGGGTGATGGGGGGACTAACTGCTGTTCATACTACATTGGGTTGGGTATTGTCAGGTGCTGCACAGAACTCAGTAAAGTGTTGGATGAACATGACCACCACACATGCACTCCCTTCTGACACACATGCCTCCGAGACCATGGGTCTAGATCAGCAACACAACTTCCTACCATTCCGATCATATAGAATTGCCCTAACAGCTGACATAGAGAAGATCAATAGCCGTGACCTCCTACACTTGATCTGGGTAGATGACATACACAAGGAGAAGCCTGCATCTAAAGTTTTCTAAATGCAACCATCAAATTCCGCAACAAAGAAGTTGTTAAAAAACTACTGAGACATTGTCACAGGTGCAGACTCCGAAGAGGCTTTATTCGTGTTCCGGAGAGGTGGTGGGATTCGGCCTCAAGAAGTTTCTGACCAATTCTCGAGAGCTGCAAAAACAAATCAACAATGCTGAAGGCATTGAACACGTGGAGTCAGATGCCCCGCAATTGAGCTACTCAGACGAGACATTATGCCAAGGTAATGCTTGGGACTATGCCAACCAAGGAATTTGGCAAGCACAAAATAATTCTAGGAGTACCATGGAACACCAGCAGTGACGTCTACTCTTCGATGCATCAGAGTTGGCCCATCTTGCCAAGAAGTTTCAACCTGAATCTTGTCAGTGTAATTGGCAAATTCTACCACCTTTTTGGTCCCTGACACCTATCGTTACGAGCGTGTCAATAGAGTCAAGAAAACTTAAAAAGAATCAGACGAAGGTTATTTATACCTAAGGGAAGAAGCCTGCATGATCAGTTACATGATCGACTGATGTGTTCTATGTAGGACATTCAAGGGAACACCTTTACACAGACCACCACAGCCACCACTACCCTACAGATCCAACTATTCTGGGGTAGATTGTGCTGGTCCCCTAACCTTTTGCGTCTCTGGCCGTCAGCAAGGTATGGATCTGTCTCTTTATGTTCTTCGTAACTCGAGCCTTACAGCTGAATGCTGGATCAGTCTAGGGAAACATTCCTAAGAGGCCTGAAGCAGTTTGCCAGGCGTGTATCGTCATTATTCTATCACATGATAAGAAAGAATTTGAGAAAGCGCATGTGAGTTTCAAATGCGAATCTGTGAGCAGAGAGCCCAGTTTGAGGGTAGAATTGCATGGATAGAGTAAATTAGCAGTTCTTTACAGAAAATCAATACCCCGTGTGGGACACAGAACCAGAAAAGATATCACATCATTTGAAGTCCCAGCATAATAGCTATTCCCGCTTTTGAACGTGAGGCATTGCTATTTTGGCTAATGGCCCGAGATATTCAGACTCGCCTAGGAATTAATTAGGTGTAGGGAACAGAAAAAGCAAAGCTATGTGCCTAATGCATCGATGTGTCTGTAGACCCATGCACAGCCGTAAGACTATCGCCTCAGCTGCCCTGCAAACATGGTCAAAATGTGAACTAAACGCAGGTAATGCTTACATTACTTTTGTTCAAACTTCAAACTGTGAGTCAAAGCTGCCCAACTTGATTGCACTGTGTGCAGGCATATGCCCCTGCCCTACTGAATTAGCCAAATGGCATCGTTAGGTTTCTACCATGTTTTATATCACTTGATATCTGCAAGTCTGTAAGGTACAATCAGTTACTCAAGATAAAATACAGAATAAACTTTGAATTAGTTGAACACGCACTGTTATTTCGAACTGGATGTTGGTACATAATGGGAGGTCACATCCCCACAGCAAAACTCACGCTCCAGTTCTCTTGCTAGTGCATTCTCATTGACTGATGGAGATTTCAAGACACTGACTAAGGTGTTCCAGGTGAATGGAGGACTTGAAGATCGCTCCCATATGTCGAGAATAGCCATGAACTGTTCAAAGCACTCGCGTTTGTCTCTACGAACTGCATCAATTGCTCCCATTCCAATCTCCAGCTGAATAGCAACTTGCATCCATTTTCCAGGAATGATGGCTGCCACACGATTTGCCAAATCACTCATTTTTGGTGATGACGTACGCTTGTATGCTGTTTGATCTGAAAATGAATAAAATAGTTTGATCCTCAATAGCTATGCATATACACCTTGGCTCTGCTTAATTAGGGCATTCCAAATTAAAACAGGAACTAAGCACGTTGGAATCATGTCAACGCTACTTTCTTGTTGTACTAATAGGAAAGCACACAAACACACTTTGCCTCACACCACCTAAAAACCCTGTGTGTGGACGAATATTGAATTTTCTGCTAAGATCCTACAGCCTAGTACCTAGAAATCCATCGAGGGAGAAGGAATGGCAAAAAACTTGCATACACATGACGTAATTTACACGTATATATTCTGCGTAAAAAAGACTGTGACATATCAGTGTATGTTTCCCCCTCACTGATCGCTTACAACAGTGCGAATGAGCTACATTAAGCATCGGTGCTGTGTCCCGGGTTTACCATTTTGTTTTTGAAAGAAGTGCACGAAGACTAAGCACCTTCTACATACGCTGTTGGCGCAGGAAAAGCTGTTGTGTGTACTTTGGCTCCAAACAGACTCGTGGAAAGAAGGTAAAATATGCCGCAACTCCTCAGCAACAAGCACTTTATAGTTCTTCCTATATTCAGGTGTTAATTAAGCAAACAGCACTAACTCTTAGGCAAACAGCACCATAGCAAGTGATGGTCATGTGAGGCAAAAATATTTAACACACGCTTTTAGTTCCCTCAGAAAGCAATGCTACCTGTCTTTGTCTTCAATAAGGCATGCGCAGGCAGGTTTAAGTACATGCACAACAAACAGGATTCAATCCTGAATCGTTATAATGCGTGACGACCCAGTTCTATAGGAACTGTTGCCCAGCTTACCGACTCCCCAAAAAATCAAGCCCCATTATTTGCGTTGGGGAGTACCCTACACTTTCCCCAAGGCCCTGTACTGTGGTAAACTGATGCTGCGACACCTTTGTACTTGGAACTCACCTATGCCACTAAGCCACACGGCCTGTCCTGGATTCAGTCTGTCAAAGATATTTGAATTCTCGGAACATATCCATTTCTTGCCATTCTCGGATATACGTGCAGTGTGTAGTTCAGTGCTACAAGCTTCATTCTGGAAGGGGCACAGGAAGGCACGCACTGGGCGAGAGTTTGTGTGGTGAGTGTTCTCCAGACCTGCCTCGACTGCAGCAAACAGCTCCGCCCTCACAGCCTGGCAGTGCTCCACCAACTCCTCTCGATCCATCTTCCTGGTGTCCACATTCACACAGGCAATGAAGAAGGAAAAATTGTCGATGAACGTCACGGTGCCTGGTCTGTCGCGCTTTGAGAATGTGATGCAGTTGCGAGAGATCTGGCAGAGTTGCCTGTTGGGTGTGTCTTTGTTGTCAGGAGTGGTGGGTGGCTTGTGGACGACCTCCCAGTGGGCATGGGACTGAAGGTGGCACACACTGCAGCAGTAGACCCCGGGAGGAGCCCAGCCAGTGGGGAACTCTACCACCAGAGCTGCTACCTCTGTGGCTATGCAGCTGGCCAGGAATTGATTGACTCGAGATTCTGGGGTCATGCTAAGGACAGCAGGGAAGAAGTACTCGGTAGCTGACAAGGGACAAATGACGAGTAGCTTTTCAAGCAACAGTAGAAAGTCACTTGGAGTAAAGATTTCTTTGACATAGTGCGACTTAAATTCCTCCAGAAACTTGAGATTGAGAATTCCACGGTCCCGGAATTTCTTCCATTCACCTCCAATTGTTTTCCCTGCAGCTTTTGTCGGATCAGCTTCTGCAGCTTTCAGATGGTACTGCTTCTCCACAAGCTTTGACAGCTTGTCTAGAGGAACTTGAGGATTGGTGAAGACGACTCCGGGCAGAATGTTCTTTTTGAACAGGAAAATGTTGAGCTTGTCAAAGAAGGTCAGAGCAGCATCAAGCTGTCGTTCAGAGAACCCCAGTGACTTGGAGACATGGAGGCACTCGTCTTTGCTCAGGACATCTCTGCCAAGCTTGTGTGTTAGCGCTTCCAGGATCAGCTGGAGGATGAACCACCAGATTGGAATCTTGTGTTGTGTGGCACCTTTCTCGATGCTGGCTCTTATCTTGCTGGCCTCTTCCTTGTCGTCTTCTTCTGGTGTTTTGGTATTAAGCGGAAAAACAATCTGCTTCATGTCTTCATTTCGATAAACTATATCTTCTTCGAAGTGAGGTGATGAAATTGCAGCAAATTTCTCGTTCTTTTGGTGTATTGTTTCTTCACACTCCTTGATTAGGTCTCGGTGGGTGCCAACAGCAATGATCTTGGAGCGTTTCTCTCTTTCATGCTGGCCTCGAAGCATTGTCTTGAAGGCCTGTGCAGTGGTGAGCGTCGCTCTCTGGCTGGGACCAACCTGTTTCCCTCTCTGGTAGAGGTCATTCAGAGGGTGTTCGTCAAGCTTCTCGCAGAGCCTGTGGACAAAGAGGGTGGCTGAGGTGTCACGTGCGAATATCGGGATGAGGTCCCAGAATGGTTGCTGGCCACCAGTGTCAGTTAGGTAGATCAACTCCATGTCCAGGAGACGACGTGATGACTTCCCACTACCCACCAGCCGAGTCAGCTTCCTGATCACTCCATCAATGACTGCCTCGCCTTCCTTTTCACCAGTCGAAGCTACACCCCCAACACTTGGTTTCTTCTCCTCATTTTCCTTTTCGCCGTTACCCTTCCCGTCCTCAACCTTCACCTCATTTCCCCCACTCACCTCCCCTTTCCCCCTCTCCCCATCTCCCTCCTCCTCTCCCTCCTCTCCCTCTCCCTCTCCCTCCCCAACTACCAAGTCCGATAGAATTTTCTCCAACTCCTCCATTCCCTTTCCCTTGGCTCTGAGGTCTTCATACAGAATGGGAACTGCTTCTGCGATCATCTCTTGAAACTCTTTTGTGGAGATCTCGTTCCACTCTCCTCCTTCCTTGCCGACTCGTATCACTCGAATTGCTCGCTCGGCACAGCCGGTGCTGTGTCTTTCTTTTGGAGGAGACTTACTGAGGAGGAGGTATATGACGCAGGTTTTGCCGACACCTGCAGGTCCCTCCACAATTACTTTCACTAGTGTCACGTTCACAAAGCCCTGCTTCATTGCTTCTCTCAGGAATGCTCTCGACTCTTCATCTACAGAATGTAATATTAGTTGTACCTTTGCCATGTATCAACAGCTCTGAATACACACACTACTATGATGATTGTGATGAGCACGGATATAAAAAATATTTAAGAGAGGCTAACTATGAACAGCATTTTTTCTAACTTGCTAATTAGCCCTACCTGGCAATACCATGCACATTAAATGCTAGTTTCCAATGTTTCATATACGGAATGTAAAGAAAAGGTATGTTTCAGCACGTAAGGGCTATATTCAGAAATGTTACTAAAGATAGAACTAAACAATGCAGCCCAGTGCAAGAATTGAATTATGCTTCAGTTTTTAGTAACAATTTAAAAATTATCCTTTAGCCTTACTGCCTTTTAAGATAACCCCTATCATCCAGATATATTATGCCTGATGTTGCCTGGCACCAGATTTCAAGCACTTGGTTCCTAGTTGCATGTTAGGCAAAATATCAACGTTATAGTATGGCAAAAAAACTATTAAGTCTGATTAGCACTCTTCTTTTTTGTCACAACTCGAGAAGCACTCTGCCCTACATTGGAGGTATATACTGGGAACAGAGGAACAGAAGGCTGTCTAAAGCCCTCTTGATTCTAAAAGCTGGGCCATTGAGTACTCCTACTGCACATGCATGCTTTGAAACATGTACAAAGTCTGCATGTGAAAACCTTTAGGCAAGGATTATACAAATGGAAGATACAATGCAAGATGGCATTGATAAAAGAGGGACTCTGGGGCATTGTCAATGGAACAGAAAGAGCACCAACCGAGAATGCTGACCAACATGCAAGATTTGCAGCAAGGAGAGACAAAGTACTTGCGACCATCGTGCTGGCCATTACCAAGTCTGCTCTATGTAATTGGCGCTGACCCCACGGATCAAGTTATAGTCTGGAAAGATCTAGCTGACCAATTTCAACGCAAGGTGTGAGCTATTAAACTTGAGCTAAAACGGAAACTCTTTTCTATGAGGTTGGGTGAAGGGGGTTCGATGAAAGATCATATCAAGTTCATGACCTAAGTTTGCAATGAGCTATCTGCAATTGGTGACCCCATAAACGTGGAGGATTGTGTTGTCTATCTTCTGGCCAGTCTAACTGAGAGCGAGAGCTAACGGCCCTGGAAGCAAGATGCCGAAGTTCCTCCACTAGCCGTGGTAACGGAGCGCCTAATTCATGAAGAGGCTAAGGCTAAGAGTCGCTCGATGCAGCTGACTCAGGAAGGGGCACTGGTTGCCAGATCCAAGAAGAAGCCAACCTGCTACTTCTGTCATAAAGTGGGACACATCAAGAGAGACTGTGAGGAGTATGCAAAAGTCAAGGGTCAATCAGACAGAAAGGTGAAGGTTCAAACCAAACCAGCTCAAATCAAGAACAAAACCACAATGGGAGCATTCAAGGTTACCATCACGGCCGATGATGAAAACAGCTCTGACAGTGAGGGCTGCGGACTGGTGGCAGCACAGGCGTTGTCAGCTTGCCATACCACCCAGGAGCAGTGGATTCTAGACTCGAGCGACGTGCCACATGTGTAACAAGGAGTCAATGTTCACCGCTCTACAAACTCTACCCACTCCAATGAGTGTGATGCTTGGTGACGGTTGAAATCTTCAGGCCGTAGGACGCGGGAATGTGACTCTAACAATGAACTTACCGAAGGGGAAAGAGACCTGCACCCTTTACGACGTTCTCCTGGTATGGTACCAGACCTAGCGTACAACCTACTCAGCATAACCTCTGCTGCTAAGAAAGGCAAGGTAACCATCTTCACCGAGATGAGATGTGAAATCAGAGATTCCAAGTCCAAGCTCATAGCCTCTGGATACAGAGAAGGAAGTCTCTATTACCTTGACCAAGAAGGTCTCACTCACCAAGCGTGTCCAAGCTCCGATCACAACAGCTCCAAGGGAATGATTTGCCATCGACGGTTTGGTCATTTGGGAACTCAAGGAGTGCAAGCCCTGACAAACAAAATGGTCAATGGAATGGATCTCGAATGGAAACAGGAGACTGGTTTCTGCGAGTCCTGTGTGGAGGGGAAAGAAAAGTCACAGGTTGCCATTCCAACATCCCAGTGGGAAAAGGGCAGATCACCCACTCGAGCTGATACACAGTGATGTGTGTGGGAAGATTGGAACCCAATCACTCGGTGGAGGAGAATACTTCGTCACATTCATTGATGATCACCATGTGTGGGTCTATATCCTCAAGCACAAAGACTGGGTCTATATCCTCAAGCACAAAGACGAGGTATTTCGGCGATTCCAAGAGTGGAAAGCCCAGGTCGAGAAGTCGAGCGGAAGACAAATCAAGGCTCTTCGCTCTGACAATGGAGGTGAGTATACCTCTAACGAATTCGAGTCGTACTTGACCAAAGAAGGAATCAAACATGAGCTGACAACACCCCATACTCCAGAACAAAATGGGGTCGCCGAGTGACTCAACCGTACACTGATCGAAGGTGTACGAACCATGTTAGCTGACTCCAAGCTCCCACACAGATTCTGGGCAGAGGCCTTGTCAACAATTGTGTATCTCTGGAACCAGAGTCCCACCAAGGAGCTAGTAGGAGTCATGCCTCACGAAGCATGGAGTGGTTCGAAGCCAGATGTACGTTTGCTTCGCATATTCGTATGCAGTGTATACTCTCATGTGCCTAAAGCTGAAAGACACAAACTTGACACCAAGACAAGGAAATGCATACTGTTGGGGTATGGTACTAACCAGAAAGGGTATCGCCTATATGATCTTAGATGGATGAAAGTGATCCACAGCAGATATGTTGTCTTCGATGAAACCTCTATGCCCGGGGTTCAGAAGGAGAAGGAACTCCCTCCCAAATATGTGGAGCTCGAAGTCGAAGAGAAGCCTGTTACCGAGGAGTCGGTGACTCCAAATACTACAAGCAGTGTGGCTGAAGAGATACCTGTGGATGAACCGTCAGGTGAAGAGTCAGCCTCAGCCAATGTGCCGTCAAATCAGACTCCAAATCTACGGAGGTCAACCAGAAACAGACGAAAACCTGACTGGTACAGCCACAACCTTACACTGCTTTCGACCGAACGACCAGACCCCACCTCAGTAGACGAAGTCAATTCAAGTCCTGACAAACACAAGTGGAGAAGAGCCATGGAAAAAGAAATGGCACCTCTTCAATCGAATGAAGTCTGGGAGTTGGTAGAGCCGCCACCAAATTGAAGGATCATTGGCAGCAAATGGGTTTTCAAGAGAAAAGGAAAAGTCGATGCAGATGGAGAAGTGGAGAGATACAAGGCCCGACTGGTTGCTCAAGGCTGCACTCAGAGGTTCGGTCTCGATTACGAAGAGACTTTCAGTCCCGTTGTTCACTTCGAATCCATCAGATCTGCTATAGCCTTGGGGGCCCAACACAAGTTGCAGCTACACCAGATGGACGTATCCACTGCCTTCCTCCATGGAGAACTCGCCGAAGAAGTGTACATGAAGCAACCCGAAGGGTTCATTGAGCAAGGGAAGGAACATCTGGTACGTCGACTCAACCGTAGCATATACGGTCTGAATCACCACGCTGTTGGAATCATGCATTGGACAACAGACTGAAGGAAATGGGATTCAAGCAAACATCCGGAGACCCTTGCCTCTACGTTCATCTTGATTCAGAAGGAGAAATGTTCCTCGTCGGTGTCTATGTGGACGACATAATTCTCAGAGGGAAGAGCAACATCAAAATGAGTGTAGTGAAGAAGGAGCTGAGTCATAAGTTCGAGATGAAAGATCTAGGACCACTCCACTATTTCCTAGTAGTAAAAGTCATTCATAAGCGAGAAAGTGGAGCGATATGGGTTGGACAACCAGTGTACGCAGAGAAGATCCTACAAAGATATGGTATGCAAGACTCCAAACCTGTCAGCACACCCTGTCAATCCATATGTCAAACTTGTTGCTTGCGAGAAGCCGGATGACATGTGTAACCAGCAGCTCTATCAAGTTGTCGTTGGCAACCTGCTGTATCTGTCTACCAAAACAAGATCAGACATGGCCTATGCAGTGAGCTGTGTTGCTAGGTTCTGTACCAAACCCATCAAAGAGCACTGGACTGGAGTGAAAAGAATTTTACGATACCTGAAAGGCACAAACAAATTTGGACTCATCTACAGAGAAGATACCCCAGTTGCAATCACTGGATACTCGGATGCAGACTGGGCTGGGGATGTTGGAGACAGAAAATCAACCTCTGGGTACGTGTTCCTTCTGGGGGGTGCTGCTATCAGCTGGAAGAGCAGCAAACAGACCTGTGTGGCTCTATGGACTGCCGAGGCAGAGTACGTTGCACTGGCAGCTGCAGCCCAAGAAGCGATTTGGCTTCAGCAACTCATGGGAGACCTGTTAAACGAGAGCATCCGAGAAACAACAATCCTCGAGGACAACCAGTCTGCTGCTATATGTCGTGCGAAGAACCAGAGCATTCATGGACGCACCAAACATATAGACATCAAATATCACAAACACTCTTACTCATTGTTTTGCAATCACCATTGTGCCTTTGTACACCACAAACATTACACCTGTATATCTGTGTCTCTAGAACGTTCTAGAAGAATCACCTCGATGCATATAGCCAAGTCAGTGTTTTTGTGATTGTATTCACTCGGCAAATAATATTCTTGAAAGCCATCATAGACATGTTTT